ATGTTGCAGCCTTGAGCCTGAAACAGCTTCCTGCTTCGGCCTGGGCCAGCTAGGTCTTCTCTTGCTCAGCCTTTGGGCCTTAGGGAAACAAAGACTCTCCCATCTTGCCTCCAGCCAAGTGTGATACAAGCCATCTCTCACCCATAGTCCTCTGGCACTGGCTAGTCCTAGGCTGTTGGATTCAGTGACCAAAAATCACTTCAGTAAACCCCTTCTCAGCCCAGCTCAAGCTCCAGTCACTCTCCTTTCTCCTTAACTTCATATCCTCCCCCTTTCAGCCCAGACCCCAGGGTGCATTACGTCAACCACTCTCTTGCCAGCACTCCAGAGCCCTCACCCTCTATCCTTCTGCTACATCCACCTGGTAGTTCCACAACTTTGGATCCATCCAGCCATCCCAACCATCTGTTTTCCCTACTCCTACACCCAGGCTGCCAAGATGGCTGCAGGAAAACATGCCATCAAGCGGACCAGGGCCACCACTCATGTATCTCCTCCAGGCTAGGAAATTTACCCTCTGCTTCTGAACCTGAAGTCCCCCCACCCTTCCTACCTTCTCCATTTCCTCAAGCCCCCTGCTCCCCCCCAGCAAACAACCTTGCTAAGAGGTGGTGGTTAAAAAGCTGGGCTCTGGTGTGAGTAGAGAGAAAACTACAAATGAATTCTAAACTCTCTTTAGTAGGTTTGTTTCTGTACTGGTATTGGCAAGATGATTCTGAAACTATTTTAGATGTATTATGTGAGTGAGCAAATCAATAAACGTGTTGATGATAAGAGCCAGGGTTCTCACTCTGGATGAAGAAACATGCAAATATTTAATAGAGGGAAATAAGAAAAAAAAGCCCTGTGAAAATGGATTGGAATTGGAGATACCAGTGTGAATTCATTTTCTAAAATACGTATATGTATGTATATTCATATGTGTATATGTTGGGTTGTCGGAAAAGTCATGACATATTTTGTCTGTTTTTCAAAGGTCATTTAATTATATAAAGAACAAAGACCAATCAGTGATATATTGCCTGCTTTGTTCGATAACCTTTTGCCATCTTTCAGTGAGCTTCATAATTCCTCGTTCATAGAAGGACCTGTCTTTATATGCGAAAAACTGAACAAGGTGCTGATTTACAGCCTCATCTGAATTGAACGTTATACCACGCAAGAAAGTGTTTGTTTTTTTAAAGATTTTTATTGGGGAATTGGGGGAAGGGGAACAGACAAGTTGCTGTCCTTTTTTGTTCTTCAGTCTAGTTGTGGAGGACATTGCTTCACTGGCACAAGTTGGCACCATCATTGCGCTCTTCCTGGGCGAGGCAGATCAGTTGCGGGCTTCTGAACGGCCGCTCACAGCGGCTGCTGGCCGCTCACGCTGGCTGCTGGCTACACACGGTAGCCCATGGCAACCCACCTGCCGACACAGGCGACTCACGGCAGCCCAGCTCCAGGTTGAGCTGCTGTTCAGCATCTTAGCTGTAGAGGGCAGTGTCACTGGCCCTCATATGTGGGATCCAAACTGGGGCTTTCTGGCGTCCCAAGCCAGCTCTTAACCAATGTGCCACTCGGCCGGCCCCATGCAAGGAGTTTTGAAGAGAGCGAAACAAGTGGAAGTCTGACGGCACAAGGTCAGGCGAGTATGGTGGGTGTGGCAACACATCCCATCCACACTCCAATAATTTTTGACAGATGATCAAACTTGTGTGTGGTCTCGCATTGTCTCGATGGAACACAACTCCTTTACAATGAACAAGCTCTGGACATTTCTGGATGATGGATTTGTTCAAACTGTCCAATTGCCGACAGTACACATTCGAATTGATTGTTTGGTTCCTTGGTAGGAGCTTGAAAAACATGACACCTTTAAAATCCCACCACACTGAGAGCATAACCTTCCTCTGATGAATGTCTGCTTTCAATGTCATTTGAGGCGAATCATCACGTCGGGACCAAGACCGTTTGCGCACCACATTGTTGTAGACAATCCACTTCTCATCACCAGTTATCAGTCGCTTCAAAAAAGGATCGTTTTCTCACGTTTAATGAGCATATTGCAGATGTTTATACATGCCATCAAATGAACTTCTTTGAGTTCATGTGGAGTAAAATAGTAAAATATGGCAAAAATGCACAGTTTGGTCTTCCATCTTCAACTTGTTGTAAAATCTCCAAAACTCAACCAAATCGCTCAATTTTTTTCAGAATGAAGCTAGAACTGTCAGCTGTCAAATGACACAGCAATAACATAGATGTGAATGACTCTAGTACTTCCAAAAATGAACTAGTGCCATCTGTTGCAAACACACATCATCACTTTTCCGACAACCCAATACATATATGTATATATATTGTATATTCAGCTCTGTCTGCTAAAAGGGCCTAAAACCAAATACACCCCATTAGCAATAAGCACATTTTGCACTGAGATCTTGTTCTCTAATACCATTCCCCACTAAAAGGAATCAGGGTTCATTAGAGAAATGGCTGATTCCAAGGCTGGGCATTTGTAGCTATGAGATAAGGAGCCCAGACATTTTGTTATGCCAAAAAGTAAGAAAGTACTTTAAAAAAAAAAAAAAAAAGCATGTCACAGGACAAAGGAGCCAGCTTAGATATTTCGGATATTTCTGGTGAAATAAAATATATTATTGAAGTTAATTTTACATGTATTGTATTTCTTTTTTAGTGTAGCTACTAAAAATATTGAGATTATATTATATATGTGGCTGGTATTAGATTTCTATTGGACAGCACTGTTCTAGAATATTCATCTCAATGAATTATGGCCTCTTGTCTTCTACAACACTACTTCTCTTGGCTCTCCCTGAATGTGCCCTGGGCTCTGGCCTTCTCCCTATACATACCCTACCTGGGTGATCTCCGCCCACCCTTGGTGCCTGTACCCCATGAAGACATGGGGTCTGGCCTCTCCTACACCCCAGACCACAAGGTCCAACTGTCTCTCCTCCATCTTCTCTTCTGTACCTCAAAGGCAGCATGCCCCAAACAGAATTATTTCATTATATTTCCCTTAAACCAGAGCCTCCCTCTGTATCCTCTCTCAGTGAACAGCACCACCATTACCATGTTTGTAACCTCAGCACTGCTAGAGCCTCCCCTGCACGTCCACGTCCAGTCAGACATCACATCCTGTTGATTCTGTCTCCTAAGTAAATCCATAAACCTCTCTCCACCCCCTTAGTTCAGGCTATCATTGTTCTAAACTGTTAAATCTGATCTCCAGCCTCCAGTCTCATGGATCCTGAACTTTCTTTGACAGAACAGCCAACATGAGCCGATTACAAGGCAAATTTGGTCATGGTGGTCCCCTTGCAGGCTCCTGTCTTCTGCAGGACTGCTCATCTCTGTCTGATATGTCTCTGCTACCCCTTCGGCCTCCAACTCTGAATTCCCCTCTGTTCCCTATGAATCTGGAACATTAATCACCTCTCCCTGATCCCTTCCACACTCCGTTCCATTACTTTGCAAATACCTGTCCTCTTTCAAGACTCAGCTAAGTGTCAATTATATCTCAAATAATAATAATAATAAAGACTCAGCTTAAATAGTAGCCTGCTATTTGAAACTGGTGTTGATTCTGTTTCACAGGCAGGACTCACCAATCCTTTCTTTGTGTCCTACACACTTCTCCCTCAGCTCCTGAAACACATTGGTGCGCAATTTGTTTACTTGTCTGCCTTTCCTAACTAGAGTGATTTCAGTTTTGTTTTGTTTTTTTTTTTTAGCTGAGCCATCCTGCTACCTGTTGGCAGCTCAGCAGCTGCTCAGCTCGGGCTGGACTTGAACCGCTGTTGTTCAGAGCTCAAACTCTTGAGCGAGCTCTTAACCAACTGAGCCACTCGGCCGGCCCGCTAGAGTGATTTCAATTGCGGCCTACAGGAGAGGGGGGAAAAAAACCTCAAGCAAAATGCAGTTATTGCTTTACATAAACAAGTAGTCCAGATATAGGGCAACTCCAGGACGTGTTAATTTATTCAGCAGCTCACTGGAGTCATCAAAGATCCGGGCCTTATCATCTTCCAGTTCTGCCACCTTCAGCACCAGCTTTGTCCAGTTTTGTTGGCTGTATGGCTGCAGCAGATCCAGGCAAACCACCAGACCCAGCAAGGCCCAGTGAACGAGACACCTGCCTCTGCGTGTCTTTTTTATTTTTTAGAACCTTTTTATTTTGGTCATTTTTGATTTACAGAAAAGTTGCAAGCTAGAGTTCCCATATACTTAATACTATCATCTTCCATAACCAGGGCACATTTGTCAAAACCAAGAAAACGTTGGTACGTGACTATTAAGTAAACTCTGGAATTTATTTGGATTTCCCCAGTGTTTCCCTTACTGTCCTTTGTGTCTTTGAGGATCCCATCCAGAACGTGCATTTCCTTGTCACATCTCCTTAGCCTCCTCTACTATGTGATCATTCCCAGTCTTTATTTTCCATAACTGACAGTTTTGAGAAGTACCGATTAGATACTTTGTAGAATGGTCCTCAAATTGGGTTTGTCTGATGTTTTCTCATGATTTGACTGGGGTTATGGGTTTTTGGAGGGATTCCTACAGAAAAGTGCCCTTCTCATCACATTGATTAGGGACACTTGCTGTCCATATGACATCACTGGTGATTGTGTCTCTTTTTAATGCCAGGAAAACTTTCCCAGAAGCCCTAGAGAGGATTTCTGTTTATGCCTCATTGACCAGACTCCATCAGCTTTGATATGAAAGTAATTATAAGCCTCATAGATGAATTGAAAAGTATTCCTTCCCTCTATTTTCTGAAAGAATTTTGCAAGATTGATATAGATAGACAGATAGATATAGATATAGATATATATTTCCATTTGATAAAACTTACAAGTAAAACTATTTGGGCCAGGGTTGGTTTTTTTTTGTGGAAAAATTTTAAATTACTAATTCAATTTATTTTCTTATTATTGTCTAATCAGTTTTTCAATGTCTCCTTGAATCAATTTTGATAATTTGTGTCTTTTTAGGAATTTGTCCATTTCACCTAAATTATCTAATTCATTGGCATAAGGTTGTTCATAATATTCCTTTCTAAGCCTTTTTCATTTTTGCAGGGTCTATGTTGATGTCTCCTATTACATTCCTAATTTTGGTCATTTGTCTGTTCTTTCTTTTTTTTTATGGTCAGTCTAGCTAAAGATTTGTGTTGTCGCAAGCCCAGGACTCATCTACTGCTGAAGCCACGTAGACGCAGAGACCTTCACCTGCGTGGTGTACTGGAGTTCCTCAGCCTCCATATTTTATCAGCAGAGGAAACTTAAGCCTGGAAAGGGGCATGGACCCAAGGTCATAAAGCAATTAAGAGATGCACTTCCGGGTTTCTGACTCCCAGCCAAGTGACTTTCCCATTTGTACTGTCTGTTCCCTCTTTAAAAACCTATAGGGATGTTTTTGGGCAGCAGCGAGAGACAGCTCACAAAACAGAAGGTCAACCAGCTGGCTTTCCTTCTAAAGGACACATTCGAATGCTAGACGCTCCCAGGACCACTGTGTACAGTATGTGCCACAGGACTAACATCTATGTATTAGAACATAGCCCATATGCTGAGTCTCTCAAACTTGGGAGCCAGCACCTCCCCCACTTATAGACAGGGAAGCTGAGGCCCGTTAAGGAAGGTACTTTCGGCCCCATATTCTGTCTCATATTCAGGAACAGAATCTGGATGAGGGCCTGTGTGCTGAGCTCTTGTAACCATTCCATGGGAGTCTCCACACAGTTACCTTTTAGGGACAACCCTGTCAACATATAGGCTCATGTGCCCCTCACGTTGGGGAAAGACTTGTGATCATTGTAAAATCAATGGAGGGGCCTGAGAATATGCATATTTTATAAGACCAAATCTTAACAATTGTTTAATTTTTCTAAGCTCTTAACGGCATAAGGTCCGGCTTGTACATAATAGGCCTTCACTACCTACCTGATGATAATTAACATCATCATCATAATTAATATCATGGTGACACTGTCTTCCTCATTCACTATTTATTTAAAGGCTTTGGGTAAGTTTAACACCATTGAGCCTTGGTTTCCTCACAGTTAAAGTGGGGCTGGCATGATTGATCACCTTGTAGCGTCTCCACAAGACCACGGATGTATGAGATGTATGAAGCAGCTTCAGACCCTTCACAGCACATGGGAGATAATTAATAAAAAGAGGTGAATATGATCAGAAAAAAAAACCCAAAAAACCTACAGGGCTGGGCCGGCTGAGTGGCACGTTGGTTAGAAGTTGTCTTGGGACACCAACTCTTGAGCAGCAGGGCCCCGGTTCGGATCCCACATGTGGGCCAGTGACACTGTGCCCTCTACAGCTAAGATGGTGAACAACAGCTCGACCTGGAGCTGGGCTTCCATGAGTTGCCAGCGACGACATAGGCTGCATCGGGGCTGCAGCGGGGCTGCAGTAGGCTGCTGTAAGCTACCGTGAGTGGCCGGCAGCCAGTGTGAGCTGCCAAGAGCCGCCATGAGCGGCTGTCCAGTGGCCCGCGACCGATTTGCCTCACCCTGGAAGAGCGCAATGATAATACCAACATGGACCAGTGAAGTGACATCCTCCACAACTAGACTGAAGAACAAAAGGACAGCAACTTGTTTGTTCCCCTCCCCCAACTCCCAAATAAAATAAAATAATAAAAATTTAAAAACCTATAGGGCTCCCTATGGCCTCATAATCAAAACTTCCAGGACCTTCCTGTTCACCTATTCTACCTCAGTCCCAATCATCCCTGCTACACAAATTCCCTTCCACTGAAGCCACGTTCCTGGCTGCCTGCAGCACTGCTCGTGTGGTTTTACCCAGCCAGGACCCAGCAACTAGGTGAAGACTCTCAAAAAATATTTATTGAATGAGAGAATGGATGCGTGGATGGGTGGATGGATGGATGGGTGGATGGATGAGTAGATGGATGGATGAATTTGCTCTTCAAACCTGAGTTCAGTTCCTACTTCTTCTATGAAGCCCACTTAGATCTAAACCTGCTATCACAGATTTCTCCAGTCTCTGCTTTCCCTGTGCATTGGTGATACAATTCAGTCCTCCACAGTTTCATGTATCGTACCTTTCTGTCCCTAACTAGATTGTATATCCTACAGGATCCAGGTGGTATGAAATTCAATTCCCAGCACCGTGTTGGGAGTTGTATTTCTAGCAATGTAACCTGGTGGAGTCACTTCTGAAATTGTCTTCTCATCTTTAAAATCAGAGATGATCCCTTGCCCGCCCACTTCACAAGGTGGTTATTGACAATCAAATGAGATAATAATGTATGTGAAGAAGCACTGGAAGTCGTGACCTATTCTAAAAATATGAGGTGCTTGGTATTCTAGTAGGTTCAGTAACTGTTGACTGATTGGAGAGAACCAACATTTAGTGAAAACCTGCCAAGTTCCAGGCAGAAGTTAACACTCATAGCACTGCTGTAGTTAAATGCAATGCTGGTTTTGCCTGTCCAGTGGTCATTTGGCTTTTTTTAATATCTGCATCCCAACTTTCCTTTGGGGGAAATTGTGCCACTCTCCATCATGTGCTTTGGGTGGGCTCACCACTAGGCTATCAGCTGCATTCCAGCTCCAAAGGAGGGCATGTGGCCCGTGCCTCAGCCAGGCTGCGTACCCCATCCCTCTCATTGCAGCTAGGGAGCGTGTATACAATCCAGTCCAGACCCTCAGGGTGTTTGTTGGGACTTCAGAGCTGAGGGTAGCTCCTTCGTCTGGTCTTAGGACTGTGACAGTATAAGGTGGGAGCTGCAGGAGGCCTCCCTGAGGAGTGGTCCTATATGAGAATAGAACCAATAAAGAAGAAAGCAGAACTGAGAGATAAAGGGAAGCCAAGTCCAGGTGACATCCTTCAAAACCCTGATGCAGCCATGCCTGAAGTCATCCAGTTACATGAGTTCATAAATTCCTTTCCTTCCCCACCCCACCCCACAAAAGTTTGGGTGGAATTTGATGCACACAAAACGTCCTCATTAAGACAATAGAGGAGTATTTCAGTTGAGACTAAGGCAGTTTAAAAATAACATCCATGAGGGAGTACATGTTAACTGAGGAATATGAAGGAGGAATGAGCAGCCTGGACCTGGAAGGGAAACTGACACCCACTCCCTAGTAAATCCCGGATGCTTCCACTGGAATAAATATTCCAAAGAATACTTGTTGAGTACCTACTCTGTGCCTGGTACTATTCTAGGCAGTGGGAAGATAACGGTGAACAAAAAAAAGGACAAAAATCCCTGCCCTCTTGGACCTCCCATTCTAGTATGTGGGGAAGAACAAATTAAAATTGTAATTAATTAGTACTTGGAAAGGTGATAAAGGCTAGGGAGAAAATAAAGCAAGGAGGGGGAATAGGGAATGCCAGGTTGCTTTTGAAACATCACAATGAACCAGCGAAGGGGGTGTATTCACCCCAACTTCAGCACAAACAGGTTAAATGACTCACCCAAAGTAGTCAACTAGCAAGTGGCAGAATCAGAATTGGAAAATGGGGAAAAAGTTACGGGATCTTTATCTTTTTCCCAGGTCAGACTGCCTATCAGCCCAGGAGTCTCTTAAGTAGCAAAAGCACTCCTCTTTCTCTGGGCTTCATTATTATTACTGACTTCTTGGCAGCTTTTGACATTACTGTCTATCCCTCTGTTTTCTAAATTTTTCACTTTGTCGACACTATGCTGCCCTAGTTCTGTTTCCCTTCTTAATTAGTTCTGCCCCTTTTGACTTTTCTTATTCCTCTCACCACTTGAGTATGAGTCACCAAATACAACCCATCTTCTGGTCACCAAATTGAACTACATGTATATCAGGAAACACCATTCATTCATGTCATAGGCATTGTGATGGCACTCTTTGGAGTTGAACAGTGCACAGCTTGAGCAGCTGTATATAGCAACCCTATACGTTTTGCACTTCTCTTATCTATGCTGACTTCAGTTCCCTTTCCTCTGCAGATTCTTCCCCACACTTCATGGGCAGCTTCTGCCCTGCACCATTGGAGAGTATGGTAGAGCAGCCTGCCATCCCCCCCAACCACCCACCCTTGCAGTGCCCACAGGCATCAGTGGGGCAGAGACAGTGGGTATTTTGCTGGTACCCTCAATGCACAAATTCATGAATAAAGAGTCCCCTTGCTAAATAGTTTCTTTGGTTAGATATCAGACATATTCTGATTAGACACTGTTGGTTAGATATCAATTGTATTGAAATCTAAAACTTTCTAGATTTACTTAGAAGTAACCTGTAAGTTTCTTATAATTCTAAAAGCTACAATTTGATATTATATTTTTGTGTGCCAGCATGAGTAGGCATATTATATCATCCAATCCTCACAACAAGAGTATGAAGTAGACATTACCATACTAATTACGCTAAGATTCAGAGAGGTCCTGTGATTTGCCTAAAGTCCCACCATTAATAACTGGTACAGGTGGAATTTGCACCAGGTCCATTGAAGACCATGCTCCTTTCTACTCTGTAAACTGCCTCCCCAAATCACCAAGCACTGTGTTCACCAAGCATTGTGCTGAATACAGGACAATGTTAACTAAACTCGACTTTTGTAGTTCAATAAACAGTTAAAAGAAATCTTATGTGCACAATTTCACTTAATGTTCAGTAATCCTGAGAGGTAAGTATTAGTGTTATTCTTAGATTTAGATACAAAAAATGAAAACAAAAAAGAAGAGAAAGTGACTTCTGAATCACTGGGATACAAAAGGAAGCCAGGATTCAAATGCAGGTCTTCCGGGGACTTCATTCTCTGTGCCCCACTCTGGCTCACTAAGCGTTGTTTGATGCAGAACATGTGAGTTGGGGAGCGAAGGGGTGAGGACAATGCCTTTTTCTTTTTGCCTCCAATAGGCTGTGGCCTTGTAGTTGATGGTCAAGCAGGGTGGTCACTTTGCCAGAGCCTGCAGCTGGAGAGAACAACCTTGAGCCACCACCCCCGGCCAATACAAAACAATGAGTGGGCAGAACCATAATCTCAGGAGAGAAAAGTGGGCCCCAAAAAAGTTGCTAAAGTCGCTCCTGCCCCTTTGTTGAAAGCTGTCCTATAGTTAACTTTTTCTCATTGGCATAGTGAAAAACACTCCCCTACATGGAGATTTAAGGTGCCAATGAGACATGGGATGCATGAAGTAGCAGGCAGGTACATTGCACAGGGACAGTGTAGGACCCGCCCCCAACATACTTTGGGAAGGAAAAAAGAGCCTATAAAACCCCTGTACCTGTAAACCTTGGAGAGCCACATCCATTCTCTTTTAGAGTGTGCTCCCTAGGTACATCAAAGCTTTTTCTTTAATAAACCTTTCTCTCTGCAAAACTGTTTCTCCCACTGTCTTGATTTCTATCTTGGGAGGAGCAAAGACCCCTGCGCCAGTAACATCCCGATGGGCACTGAAGAATTCGTTCATTCATGAGCACCTAGCATGTACAAGGTGCTAAATATACAATGAAAAAAGGCTGTCCTGGTTCCTGAACTCACAGAGCTTACTTACATTCTAGTGGAGGAGACAAACAGATAAAAATAAATTTCAGACAGTGATGTCTGCTACAGGACGACGTGGTAGGAAATAAGGGGGAGATAAATTTAGATAGAGATCAAAGAAGGCATTTCTGAGAAGTTAACATTAATTGAATGAACACGCATAAATAGCAACTTGCTGATGGATTTATTATTCGCTATCAGACTTATCTAGTTTTTATTGGCCGTTAGATTATGGTTCTGATGCTCTTTGGACCTTATATTGCTGATGCCCAAAGGGCAAATGCAATGGCGAAGCATAAGGAAGAATCCTTTGAATTCTTTATATTCTGACCTTGCCTTAGCCGTCAGGGTCACACCCCTATTGCCACACCCATTCTCCTTCTGGGGATTCCGGCCTGCGCAAGCGCAAGAGAAACTGTCGTTCCTAGTGGAGGGCGCAGATCCCATTACGAAACGCATGCGCCCCTGGCCCGTAAGCCCCGCCCTGCCCCCTGCCAGGGTTCGCGAGCGACTGCCGTTTCTCAGGGCGGGGCGATAGGCGGGGACTGGGCGGGGAGGCGCGCGCCGGCGCGTGCGTGCGTGCGCGCGCCCCCGCGGGCGGGCCAGTGAAGCCGGCGGCCTTGGCACGTGATCTGGGGCCGACTCTGTCGCTTAGTGGCTCAGTCTGTCTGTCCGTCCGCGGGTGCCATCATGGCGGACGCGGCCAGTCAGGTGCTCCTGGGCTCCGGTCTCACCATTCTGTCCCAGCCGCTCATGTACGTGAAGGTGCTCATCCAGGTATGAGTCGTCGCCATTCCCTTCCCCGCCCAGCGTCCTATTCGGTCGCCGCTGCCCAAGGCGCCTGAGGATCGGCTCCAGCCTTCCTGGGCCTTCAGTCCCCCGAGGTGCTGCTGCTCCTCTGCTGCCCCGTCCTCCCCTGCAGGGACAACTTCCACCCGCCGCCGCCCTTCCATTGCCTGTGGGCCTGCCCGAGGTCTCTCCTCTCCCCTAAGCGGTGAGGCCCGCTCCTTTCCGCGTAGCCAACTGCCGTCCTGCCTTGCCCGGTGACTCCTCTGAACTTTGTTTTTTCTTCCCTGAGGTTGATCTTGGCCGGTCGCCACCGAGGGCTTCCCAACCCTTTCCTATCGCCCCTCTAAAATTAGCATTCCCCACACCCCCCCGCCCCAAACGCAAAACATGAAATCTGTTGAAATTTGAAATTAGAAGGGAGCCAATATTTGTTAAGCTTTTTTTCTTGCTTTGCTGCGGTTAGTGCTGCAATTCTGTTCCGAGATTTTAGCACGAGATACCCAGATAAACACAGGAGCTCATTCAGAAGTGATAATGAAGTGGTTGCCGAGTCAAATTTCCGAAGGATCCACAGAGCGCGCTCGACCACAGCAGCCCATGTGGCTCCTGACAGTGAAAATCACATCTGTCTGAGCTGGATACCAGCTCAGCTGAAAGTTTTTAGCGAGTTGAAGTATATGTGTTAGTTTCTAATCCGTAAAATAATTCTTAAATGGTATTTTATATTCCAGGCAAGGAGGGCAGGTTTTAGCTGATGATAAACTATTAGATAGTGTTTTCAGTTGCTTTCTAAATTTCCCTGTGATGGGCAGGTAATTCATTTTTTAAACCTTTGAGAATTGACATAATTACGTCATGCTCTGAGCAGCTTTTAGAAGCCCTGTCCACACCATCTACCCTTCTGTCAAAAATATGCAAGACACTGGGGAGGGCTGCATTTCTTATTCTTGAGTTGATGATGCTAATCCAAATTATATGTCGCTGAGTTGACCCATGTGAATTCAGATTCTATATATACTAAAGGCTATTGTAAAATAAGTTATTTGAACCAAGAACAAAGACTTCGATTGAAATGTACTGTGATGTCTAAAACAGCATTGGCACATTTATAGCTATATAGTATCTGAAATGACAGCATTTTGCTGTAAAGCTGGTATGAGTCCATTACTTTGTCTGGAGACAGGGTTTTCTAGTGACACTCAGAGCTTTTACCTTAAAAACTTGAATATCCTTAATCCTGATTACACAACATCTGTGTGTTGCCAAGTACCTCGGGTTTCGGTGAAATCCCAAAATATCTCGTAATTGTTGTATGGTAACACTTTCAGGGAGCTCAGTCAGGAGTTATTTAATTGAGCAGGTTAAGAATTGCAGCAGTAGAGAGTCAAAACCATGTCCTACAGCGTTTTCATTCTCTCAAGTGTCCATTTAGTACTAAAAACCCTGAATATATTGTAGAAATAAAGTGATAATCATTAACTCTAAAATGGCCTTCATTAGCTTGTTAATGACAGTGTGCTGTTCAACGTGGCCTTAGTTTGTAATTACTTCCCAAATGAATTATCCAGCTATATATGCATTTGCCTTTTTAGTGTTTGGTCGAGCTTACCAAATATGAAGTTGATAGCTTACACTTATTTTGTCTAAATATCAGAAATGTGCTAGATTTTCCTTAGAAAATATTGGGTTGTCAGGAAACTCATGATGTATTTTTCTATGTTTTTCAGTGCAAAAATGCATCATGACTTTCCCGACCACCCAATATTTTTGAGCCCCCTCATTAAATTGTCACTTTCCTAACATAAAAGCTCCCTTATTCTGTTTTTCAGTTTGATATTTGCTACATGACGTACTTTGTAAAATTTGAACCAAAAGAAAACTTGGGGTTTATCGAAACCAATCTTGCTAATTAACAAAATAAAAAACTGACAAGGATGATGCTTCATCATTGCCTGAGAAAACATACTGCATTTTAACTTGCGTTAAAAATTAACTCTAGGGCTGGCCGAGTGGCGCATTGGTTAAGAGCTGATTTGGGACGCCAGAGGGCCCCAGTTCGGATCCCACATATGAGGGCCAGTGACACTGCCCTCCACAGCTGGGATGCTGAGCAACAGCTCAACCTGGAGCTGGGCTGCCGTGAGTCGCCGGCGACGGCATAGGCTGCAGCCCCTGTGGCAGTGGGTTGCCATGGGCTACCGTGTGTAGCCAGCAGCCAGCGTGAGCGGCCAGCAGCCGCAGTGAGCGGCCGTCCAGAAGCCGGCGACTGATCTGCCTCGCCCGGGAAGAGTGCAATGATGGTGCCAACTTGGGCCAGTGAAGCAATGTCCTCCACAACTAGACTGAAGAACAAAAGGACAGCAACTTGTCTGTTCCCCTTTCCCCAATTCCCCAGCACTGTTCCTATCCCCCCAATTCCCCAATAAAAAAAAATCTTTAAAAAAAAAAATTAACTCTAACTTTGTTCTAAATTCAAGACCTTGTAACCAAGGTATTCATGGGATTATTGCTTAGTATTGATGGACTCTCTTGTTTTGAAAGGTTGGATATGAACCTCTTCCTCCAACAATAGGACGAAATATTTTCGGGCGACAAGTATGTCAGCTTCCTGGTCTCTTTTGTTACGGTAAGTGTCTGATTTATTTGGAATTGGATGACTTGGAGCACCATGATAGACAGGAGTTACTGAAAGAAGATATATATGTTTATGTATCCATTCCCTTCAGCTGGAATTGAAATCTCTGACTTGTGTTTTTAGCTCAGCACATTGCGAGCATCGATGGGAAGCGTGGCTTGTTCACAGGCTTAACTCCAAGACTGTGTTCAGGAGTCCTTGGGACTGTGGTCCATGGTAAAGTTTTACAGGTAAGAAGAAAATCATTTCATCTTCCCATAGATTTAAATTTGCTTTTATGCAGTTCTGATGAATAACTTCAAAGATATATTTATAACCATGGCCTTTCTTCCTCTTGAAAAACATTTACATGAAATACCCATTCTTAATGCTTTCCACAAGGGAATTTGTATAAAATGAAGTAATTGATTTTTATGTACACAACCTCTTCCTCTGAACCAGTTGTTCTGAGCAGAAATTAAATACACTTATTTGATTTCCTGTATAGCTAATTTATTTCTTTGAAGGAGGAAGAAAGCTTATTAAAACATATCTCTTTCTGAAGTTATTTTCCTCATATTTCAACAGTTACTTTTAGTAAAATGTTACCTGTTACAAACTTATTTTTAAAAAACAAAACAAGGGCCGGCCGAGTGGCTCAGTTGGTTAAGAGCTCGCTCAAGAATTAGAGCTCTGAGCAACAGCGGTTCGAGTCCAGCCCGAGCTGAGCAGCCGCTAAGCTGCCAATAGGTAGCAGGATGGCTCAGCTAAAAAAAAAAAACAAAACAAAACAAGATAAACATTAAAGTCAAGTTAGTTGTTATTTGTGGGGAGAGCGGGAGCGGCCAGGCATGGGGTTCTGGGGTAATGGAAATGAAGTTCCTTGACCTGGATTATGGCTATATGGATATTTGCCTTTTAATTATTTATTACATTGTACATTCGTACTTTGTACACTGTTTTTATACCTGTGTTGTATTTGCATAAATTTTTTTTTTTAAAACATCACCAACTGTACATCAACTACTTTTGGGAAGGGGAAAGAGGTAAGAGTGGAACTTGAGCTATATCTGTGGCGTTTTATCTTAAGAAGCCAAGAGATCTTAAGTAAAAAGATCAAAGTAATACATCTATTTAACCTTGATGGTGGGTACATAGGTGAATTGTCTTTTCTGTATGTTTGAAATGTTTCATAAAATATTTCAAAACATCAAAGTTACATTTCCTTCTTTCTGAGTGACCATTTTGTTTTGCCAGCTTCTTTTAACTTCAGATGCTAAAACTTCCAATTTCGATTATACTGGTTTCTCAGTTGCTCCAGTTACAATGTGGGTCAGACAGAATTGCCCTTTGCTCCATTTATAAAGGTGTTATGAATACAAATTGTGTACCATTTAGAACAGTCCATGGAAAGGTTGTTCAGCATGAGTATGGTTGAGAATATAAAACTAATGGGGTTTTTCTAGTGCATTATTGTCCCCTCCTGGCACCAAGGGTGTGTTATTGTGCAATAATTAAAAAAATGTAGCTGTGTATGTATGCTAACCGGATCTATATAATACTTTCAACCTATATAATATCAGATTGCTAAATTCCAAATGTTTACTAACTGCTTATTTAGGTAGTACTCAGTTCAACTCTCCATGTATTTTAGGCTGTAACATTGCCCCAGTTCTAATGTTTTATCATCTGATGAGCAAATCGTGATTTTGTTAAACAGTTTCATGATCTAACTGGCTTAGATTTTAAATGTTTTTCACCCTTCAGTCATTTTGCTATTCTTCATATTATTATTGTTGTCATGCCTGTGGACTAAATTTAGAAGCATCGTTCCGGGCGGCCTGTGGAGCAGAGCGATGGGGCCTTTTTAGTGGATTCATTACTAGTCTTGCTTTTCCAATCATACCCTACTCTGGGCCTAAGCGTGGCTATGGCCTAAGTGAGATTTACATATAGAAAGGCAGTTGTCATCTAGTCAAAGAGGTTTATGTACAGACTTAAAGCAAAAGTGAAGTTACTGTTTGAAACCAAGTTCCTTTATGTAAAAGGAAAGTAAGACAAACTTGAGGTAATCAGTACCTTTTGAAATGTGTTTCACATGTAGCCAAATGACTGTATCACGGATCGGTACTACACTTAGTATCAAAAGCAGCTTATACTTTTGGTCAAGGAAGCAGACCAATTCAGGGTTGATGAAACTTTTATAAGAAAAGAGTTCCTTTATAAGAAAGTGTCCTAGATAGCTAAGCAATAATTAAATTAAAATCTGTTCAGAATAATATAGGAGAGAGGTAGAAAATTTTATTAATGGAGTAAAAAGCAAAGTCTAGAAATGAGTGAGAATTTTTAATGATGCCTGAAAGTACCAGAATGAATTCTACCCAAAGATCTGTAATTTGACCCAAAAAACACCATTTTGTTTAATCTTGATCTTTATTCTCTTTGCCTCTGATCTTTAAAAACAATTATTTTTACTAATGAAAGTGTTTTCTACTTTTTTAGTCCACCTAGGAGCTTAATTGTCTGATTCTTTTCTTTCACCTAACCCATCTTCTGTTTTTGAAATAGACCACAAATAATATTTCCTCTTCTGGTGTAGCCTGAACACTAGCGATATTCATGTTCTCTTCTCTAGACAAGAAAAAAAAATTTCTCTTGCTTGTTTAGGAAATAGTCAGATACAAAAGGCAAAGTGAGGCGATTTCAGCTATTGAGACTTAGCACCAATTCTCTGTTCTTTTATACAGTGAAGAAAAGAGTCTTGCCCTAATTTGGTATTGGTCCTGCTTTTTCCATGAAAAGGCCATGAGGGTTTTTCCATAGTCTTAGTCCAAGGCTATGTTTTTACCATTTTCTGTTAAATGAGAGTGTTTAGTAAATAATGTTCCTGGATTTTTGCCGTTTTCCTTTTCCTTCTTTTAGATGAGCATTTGCTTGTTCCTCCAGCTAGCCTGTGTGTTAAACTTAGTAACAAGATCATCTTAGAGATACTTATTTATAGTTGATCTGTTAGAATTAGAAGTTAATTGGATATTTGCTGCAAAAAAAAAAAAGTCAACTATTTTACTTTCTATCAATAAAGTTTTCATTTTAAGTCCTCTCTCAATGACACTATGATAGCGTTAATCATCCTTTCTTTTTTTTTTTTTTTTCCCCTATCCCTTTGTAGCACTACCAGGAGTGTGACAAGGTTGAGGTATGTTGGAGCTGCTTTGCATGCATGGGCCCATTTTTTTTTGCAAGTTGTTATTGCTCTTTGGTCCTTTTAAGGAGCAGGGACAAGCAGTCAGTTTCCCTTTCATCCCAGTGAGTGTTGGCAAAGAGGGTGGCCTCCAGTTTGAACAGTTCTATTTAAAACCATCAAGATATCTGTCTTCTTTCATTTGATTTCCAGGAGTTAGGCCCTGGAAATATACAGAAAGAAGTCTCATCTTCCTTCGATCGAGTTATCAAGGAGGTAAGAGATTAGTGATGGCCTATACTATTTCCCTGAAGCGGAGCGTGTGCAGTGTGCCAGTGTGAAATCAGGACTATCAGGCCTGTTATGTTCATTGCCTGTTCCAAATGAAATTAAACCTTCAATTTAATTTGGGCTTTATATATAGCAAAAAAGAGAGAGAAAAGCATTGCTTGCTGTTTAGAATAGATGCATTTCAAGAAAACTAATTTTGCCCACTCATTTCATCTTTAAAATTAAAGAGGTTTCTACTGAAAATCTTCCAGAGTTGAAAACCTCTGGTACAGTGTTAAAATAGTGGTCAGGTCCTTTGTGTGTTGGATATTAAGTATCCAGAAATGCTTTGTAGCATTATTCTGACTTTGGAATGTTCCTCGTCACCTATTTCCCACTCCCATATTCTGCCACTGGAGTTTGTTTCATGCTTGACTTAATATTTATGGCTTTCAGACTACTCTTATTTCGTAGTCTTTAATTGTCTTAATTGTCTTTAGTGAGGTCATAATTTTCCAGTAAATGCTACCGTCTGAAATACATATCCAAAACAAACTTGACTACAGGTTGACTACAGATGAATCAAGTAGGTTTAAATTTTCATGCAGGGAGTTTATTTAAAAGTAGAGATACTTGTATTAATATGTGTTTTGTATTTTCTTAACTAAGTGACTAAAGGTGTTTAAATGTAAAAATGAATGACGGACCTGCTGTGTTTGCAACCTACCTCTAAATAATGTAATTAGATTTTCTTTACTACCTTTTTATGGAATCCTGTATAGAGAAAGATAAATTAGGACAAATATAGCAGCTCTAAGATGCTGTAAGGTTTTGGGGCTGTGGTCAAAAAACAAATCAAAGTTGTTCTGTTCTCCCTGAGATGTTGGTACAGACGAAATCGAGCCTGACGTTTGTCTAGCATGGGTATCAGTCTCTGAAATCACACACAATGAAAGAGCAACTTAATAATCTAAATACAGACCTCATAGTATTATTCCAGCTCTGTTACTGTTAGCTGGTGACCCTCCCTGTTTCTTTGCTTTTGTTTTTATCTGTAAAGTTGAGAAGATAGCAAATCTGCTTTGCAGAGACATTTTGAGAAGTAACTCTAACACAACATTGAAATCCATGAGTAACAGGTATGATGGAATGACAGTGTTACCTTGTGTCGCATTCCAGCTGCTCTTGCTGACTCCAGGGCAGGGTGCTGTTGCTCACTTTCTTGTTCCACAATATCCCCCCACATTACTTCTTACAGGAATTTGAGTGTCATTTATTTAGATTTCAGAAGTGTGTGTTGATTGTTTCTAGACAACACGAGAGATGATGGCTCGTTCTGCTGCTACCCTCATCACACATCCCTTCCATGGTATGTCTACAGTTAATAACTGAAACCTGATTTCTTACCCTGCCTGCTTAGATGGTTAACATGGGAGGTCATAATGGTACCTTGTCTGCATGCTTTTTGTTTGCTTGCTTGTTTTGACTTTTATCCAGTGTATCCAGATAGCACTGTCTTTAAGTAGAAAAAACTTGGGGTTTTTTGTGGAGGTTTTTTTTTAGGGCTATCAATATTTAGCTCTGTAATTTTAAAAACTTTTTCTCTGTATTCTGTAGTGATCACTCTGAGATCTATGGTACAATTCATTGGCAGAGAATCCAAGTACTGGTAAGTGTTTTTGTTTTCAAGTATGCAAGGAGATCTGTTGAAGCCAAAGTATTATAATAGAATAATAGTGCTTAACGTTTTTATGATGCCTTAGAGTTTACAGAACATATTCATATATGTTATCTGCACAAAAACCAGTAAATAGAAGAAAATGGCCCAGGCAGGTTGAGGAGCCTACCCGGGATCTCAGACTGTTAAAGAGCCACTGAAACCAAAATTCACCCTGACTCCATATGACTGCATCCTAGTAGTAATATCTCCACTTATACGTGCACTTTCAGCTGTCTTTGCAGAGTGGGGGTGGTAGGATGGAGGGCAGGGCATGTAAATTTTACCTTGTCAAAAGTGGTAATTTTCTTAAAACATTTAAAAAAATAGCTCCAAAATAATTTTAATGTATTTCCCCTTTCCTTCTTCTGTACCTAGTGGACTTTCTGATTCCATAGTAACCATATATCGGGAAGAGGGCATACTCGGATTTTTTGCGTGAGTAAATTGTTGATTTGTGGGTGTGGTTTTTGTGAGTAGAAGGCTTTAAGAACAATAAGGACATGACTATTTGTTTAATCCCTGGGGACAATGTTCTTTCCAGGTTTACTTCATGTTAACCTCTATTTAGGCCCCTCTGGCTTGAATTCTCTTGTAAAGATCCCAGACTTTTGCTTCTGACATCTAAAACATTTGAAATGAGGATTTTCTTTTTGTTTTTTTATTTTTATTTATTTATTTATTTATTTTTAAAGATTTTTATTGGGTAATTGGGGGGATGGGAACAGTGCTGGGGAATTGGGGGAAGGGGGACAGACAAGTTGCTGTCGTTTTGTTCTTCAGTCTAGTTGTGGAGGATGTTGCTTCACTGGCACAAGTTGGCACCATCATTGTGCTCTTCCCTGGCGAGGCAGATCAGTCACTGGCTTCTGGACGGCCGCTCACTGCGGCTGCTGGCCGCTCACGCTGGCTGCTGGCTACACACGGTAGCCCATGGCAACCCACTGCCCCAGGGACTGCAGCCTACGCCGTTGCCAGCGACTCAGACAGCCCAGCTCCAGGTTGAACTGTTGTTCAGCATCTTAGCTGTAGAGGGCAGTGTCACTGGCCCTCATATGTGGGATCCGAACCGGGGCCCTCTGGCATCCCAAGCGAGTTCTTAACCATCGCGCCACTCGGCCGGCCCTTTTTTTTGTTTTTTTAAATAAATTCATTCCAAGTTTCTGCTTTTACAGTAAGTTCCCAATTATGGACAGTTGATAAAATTAGGAAAATTAATTTTTGAAAAAGGGGGAAATTATCTAATATGTAGCTTCTTTATCCTGAGAGAATACATTTTTGCAAGGCTGTATTCATTCCTTTGAATTTACTTTGGAAGAATTTAGATGGCAATCTTCATTTTTTTCTTTTTTTAAGATTTTATTGGCGAATTGGGGAAGGAGAACAGCCGAGTTGTTGTCCTTCAGTCTTAGTTGTGGAGGGCACAGCTAGCTCAGCTCCAAGTCCAGTCGCCATCCGGCCGCCCTCGGCAGCTTGCGGCTGCTCAGCTCAAGGTGCCGTGTTCAATCTTAGTTGTGGGGGGGCGCTGCCCACCATCCCATGTGGGCGTTGAACCGGCAACCTTGTTAAGAGCGCACGCTCTTAACTACTGAGCCATCCGGTCGCCCATCAGCAGCTCAGGGCATCTCAGCTCAAGGTGCCGTGTTCAATCTTAGTTGCGGGTAGGCATAGCCCACCATCCCATGAAGGAGTCAAACCGGCAACCTTGTCATTAGGTAGGTGCACGTGCTCTCACCAGCTGAGCCATTCTGCCACTTGTTCGCAGCTCAGCGGCAGCTCAGCTTGGGCGCAGCTCACTGGCCCATGTGGGAATCGAACCAGCGATCCTGTTGCTCATTTAAAAAACTGGATACTCTGGGAAGTTCATTTGCTGCTGGTCATATAGCTGATAAATGATAGAAGTGGCATTTGAACCCTGGTCTTCTTCGGTCTGTGGGGTATTGTTTATCCCACTATTCCATGCTGTCTCAACTAGATCACCCAGGTCCTCAAAACTGTTTTTTTATGTCTCTCACCTATATCTGTGTTTAGGCAGATTTTTCTAATTTTGTAATTTTTCTCATCTCTTACCTTGCCAAATTTGAATATCAAGTAGTTTAGCAAAAACCATATTTAAGTCTCTTCTTTAAAGTAGGCAACTTTTTGGCCTCCCTGCTTCTTATTGGGTTGTTGGAAAAGTAATGACGCATTTTTGCAGTGAAAAACCTAGAAAAAATACGTCATGACTTTTCCGACAACCCATTAGTTATTAATAGTAAGGTGAGCCATTGGCCATAGCTTAAAGGGGTATAACTGACCTGCATTTTAAAAATAGGAGTGAAGGTCGTTAGAGATTAGCTTCAAGTACAGTTACATTAACTAGAATAAACTAGTTATGAGGGCTGGGTTCTGGTATTCGATGTCTTTTCAGTTTTTTAGAATGGTTTGAAATTTCTAGTTTTTGAACAGTGTTTATATTGAGTGGATTATCTTTTTACTGATCACATTTTTTGTTTCTTCTTGTTAGGGGTCTTATTCCTCGCCTCCTAGGTGACATCATTTCTTTGTGGCTCTGTAACTCACTGGCCTACCTCGTCAATACCTATGCACTGGACAGCGGGGTAGGTTGTGACCTTGATGAGATGCGCTGGTGCTGACTTGATTGTTCACCTGGCAGCTAGGTTAGCTTTAAAGTGAGATGGCAGTTTGTTATGTGCCAGATTCATTATTAAATAGCTGAACATCAGTCAAGTTTGCAGAGGCTAATGGATGATCTGTACTATTTACCATAGAAAGATGCACCTAAAACGTTCCTAGGGTGTGGCAGAGTCAGCCCAAGAGATCCATCCTGTCTCTGTGCTGTAAGGAGACCACTTCTGTATTGATTCCTGACACCATGAAGCAGGACAGTTTTATAGTGTATTCAGGGTGTTTTGTCTAACCTGAAGCGTTAAGGGGACTCCTGTTTTGGGCTTTATAAAAACCTCAGCCTTTCCTAGAAGTAATGTTTCCTCTGCCTCAGCAGTTGTGGACCTCTTTGTACACAAGCAGCACCACAGCATCATGGGAAATAGAACACACCCAGGTTTAAGACTAAATCCATGTTGTAAGCTTCCTACATGTAGAGACTGATCTCCAGAGCACCTGTTAACGTAGCTCGGTACATATAGAGGTGGTGACTTGTCCCTCAAATAACTGTAAATGTGGTTTCCAGGGATTGTATTTCTAGGACATAGGAAAAGGTTACCAATCTCATTTTCTTTTGAAATCCTGAGGCTATTATTACATTTGTTCTTGAGCCATCTTATCAATTAATCTATGAATTTGTTAATGTTGAATCAAATTGATCATTTTGACCACTGCCTTTTTATGCTTATAATCAGTATGCTATGTTTCCATCCTCAAAATTAATTCTCAAGTTTTCAGAGAAATGAATAATTTAGAGATAGAAAATACTGATATGGTTGGGGACAGTTAGCTGTTGATATGAGCTTAATTTTCTTACTTATTCTAATAAAGGCTTTTTTTCCTGATTTAGGTTTCTACCATGAATGAAATGAAGAGTTATTCCCAAGCTGTCACGGGAGTGAGTTTTATTTTTTAATCCTTTTAACTTGCTAGGGATTGTTTTGTTTTAAGTTTGGCCTGTGTTATCACTGCTTTAAAGCAACCAAATGTCTCACAGGAAAGTCTTATCAGATTTGTGCGTTTGTCAGATGGAAGAGTAGCCCAGAGCTTCTGCATCACAGTAGCGGTAATAACAAACCCACATGGTCTGGTGCTGTTTTCAGAGGCGGGGTGTCGGCGCTTCTCATCACAGCTCTGCCCCTGATTCTCAGGCCTGCTTCTCACTGTAGCCCGCTGACCCTACAGTGGAGAACTTCACCCTCTTTAGTCATCTGGTCTCCCAGTAGTTGACTTCTGAAGTAGTTTCCATTGTCTTTGGAAAGATGTTCACGTTTTCTTATTTTCTTCAGGGGTGTTTTGAAATTGTGTTTAGTTGTATTTACTTTTTCTCTGAAATATTTTAGTTCAGTTTTATTTGAATGAGGACTCAATCACAGAAGAAGAGGATCCTTCTGCCTGCCCTTTTGTTAAAATGTTAGATGTAGAGGTGTATTAGGAGAAGGCAGCATCTCCGGGTTCAAACATGCAATTTAGCCTCTCCTGGGATACTGAGAAAGCAAAACCAATGAGGAGCATTTGACCACAGTGGCGTTAGGACTTGGAGGGAGAAGAAGGAAGAGATGAAGGAGACTAGGAATGACTAATGACTTAGCTGTCTTCTTTCCGTTTTGCAGTTCTTCGCCAGTATGTTGACCTATCCCTTTGTGCTTGTCTCTAATCTTATGGCTGTCAACAACTGTGGGTAAGTGCTTTGCATTTTTTATCCCAGCAGTTGGCTTGACAGGCAGGGTAGTCCTGGTAGAAATTTGGGGAAGAAAAGTGTGATTGATGCTATTACTAGTTTTCCTAATTTTTTTCTCTATGTACCCCACGAATCAATTTATATTATAAGTGGCCACCTCGTATCTTTTTTGGAATAGGAAAAAGCATAAATAGTATTTCTCAAGTACTTATAAGTAATATGCACTTGCCAGTAGTATAGGTCCTATTTAGAAAAGGGCGGGATAATTTCAAATTACTCTGTTTTCACACCTTCCCTTTATTTTACACCTTTGTCCTCTTTTTCTTGAAAGTTACAAAAAGTATGTCAGGGATTGGCTGACAACTTATGCCTGTTTTTCCTGGGGGCTTCATGGAGAAAGTGAGTTGTAAAGAAAGGAAAATAGGAAATTTGATCCATGGAGAGTTTCTTAACCTTTCACCATACTGGGAAGGGTGGCTGGTGGTGTGCTGACGGACGTCATTGAGTTCCAGCTTCTAGATGCCAAGTGACCATACCAAGTTGGACAAAGGTTTTGCCTCTTGATTTAATTCAAAACTGTGCCAATACCTGATGCATTATACCACTAGACATGTCATTGTTTTCAAACAAGATACCAGATAGCTGTGTGGAGTTTTCAGCATCATTATCATATTTCATATCATGTTACATTCTGTTTGTTTAGTGATTTGTAGAGCAGCTGCCCAGAGCATACTTAAAGGATGATTTAACTGTATTATTATTCCTTACAATTTTTTAGAGAGGAAGTGATTATGGGTTATAGCTGAGTAAAAGAATATAGTCACAACTGTTTATATCCGTTGCCATATTTAGGGCTTTTTATATAGGTTTTTTTTTAAACACCACTTAGTTTTTTTCTGTTTTTTGGTTTTGTTTTTTTAAGATTTTATTGGGGAATTGGAACAGTGTTAGGGAATTGGAAAAAGGGGAAGAGCCAAGTTGTTGTCCTTCGGTCTTAGTTGTGGAGGGCGCAGCTGGCTCAGCTCCAAGTCCAGTCTCCATCCGGCCGCCCGTCAGCAGCTCGTGGCCACACAGCTCAAGGTGCCGTGTTCAATCTTAGTTGCGGGGGTCACAGCCCACCATCCCATGTGGGAGTCGAACCAGAAACCTTGTTGCTAAGAGCTCACTCTCTAACCACTGAGCAATCTGGCAGCTGAGCTCAAGGTGCCGTGTTCAGTCTTAGTTGTAGGTGGGCATAGCCTACCATCCCATGTGGGAATCGAACCAGCAGTCTTGTTAGGAGCACGTGCTCTCACCAGCTGAGCCACCCTGCCACCTGTTGGCAGCTCAGCAGCAGGACAGCTCAGTGGCAGCTCAACTCGGGCTCAGCTCACTGGACCATGTGAGAATCGAACCCAGGACCCTGTTGCTCAGAGCTCGTGCTACTAACCACCTGAGCCACTCGGCCGGCCCCACCACTTTGTTTTTAAATTCCCTTTCCCTGCTCTTTAATCATATAATTGCTGTGTTGTAGAATTTCATTTGTCCACAAATTTAAAACCTAGATGTTTTATAAAATACATAAATGATTGGAATTTCTGTTTATTTGTTTATTCAAAACCTAAATATAAGGGAGGGAAATTCATTAGAACTAAAATTGCCTCTCAGGTAGGAGAATATTTCAACAAAGGTTGACTGAGCTCTTGAGAGAATGTCTTGTAAATACTGACTTGAAAGGCTACCCGTTCTGTGTTTCAGGCTTGCTGGTGGGTGCCCTCCTTACTCTCCAGTGTATGCTTCTTGGATAGACTGCTGGTGCACGCTGCAAAAAGAGGTACTGCTCTCGCTTTCTCTCGCACCCCCACCCCCAGTGTATTTTATTTTATTTTGTTTGTTTTCTTAAACAATGTCTCTGGAATCCCAGGTTAATTCTTGTAGCTTACCTTTTAGCTACCAATTAATGTGCCATGTGTCACTCTGACGCAGTAGTAAGATAAATGGTGCTGCTTGGAATCACCAGGAGAGGTAATGAAGAAGTAAGACTCCCCAGATGTGACCCAGAAGCCGTCGGAGTGACCGCATTCAGATTACAAAAGGGTCTGGATGGACAGCTATCCTGGTTGTTAAAATGATGACCTTGATTTCAGATTATTTTTTTCCAACCTCACCTTTTTCTAACTTCTCAGAATCTCCTCATTCAGGTGTTTTCCTGCAGTGTAGTAGAGAGGAAACTGAGAAGTTGTTTATTTGTGACATCATTTGTCACAGTGATGTTAATGGAGCTGATCTCTTACTTCTAGAGTCTTGTTAGTGGATGATTTTGTCCAGACTCCAATTTATTGTTTGTTATTGCTGTGAGGTATATCACCTGGCCAGGCAAAGCTTTATTAGGAACCAAATAATGGATGGCTGTGTGCTAAATTTAACAAAGGATCTCTTAAAATAGCCATCAATTTGAAGCTGTTTTTGAGCAGGAAGCACTTTTTGCAGGATTGTAGAAGAAAGTGTGTGAAGAAGCTCTTCGTTGCGTTATATTATAGCTCTGATGATACAGATGAGAGAGGCCTTCGTTCACCGAGCTCAGACTTCTCCAGCCTGAGGAACAATGAAAAGGCCCAAGCGCTGCTGTGGTCGCTTGTGCTCAGAGTGCAGGCCCAGCAAGCCCCTCCGTGAATCCAGGCTAGAACACTTGAGTGATTCCCATACAAACCAACGTGAACGTTCTGGGTTTCATTCCGAGTTTTACACTCTCTATTTATTGGACAATCTCCTATTGTGGTCCTAATTTAAAAGGAAAGATGGCCCTTCTTTCCCTACTTACAACCTAACTCCCTGCTATGGGAAGAGGGCAGATAGAAAATGACTGTAAGAGGGTATCAGACACCTTACCTTGGGAAGAGTTGGTCCTTTAAGTGCTTAAGACAATAGCAAATCTTGGTTGGAAATTTGCCATATATCAGGCATCGTGCTAAGAGCTCTCCACATACCAGCTCACGTAATCCTCAAAATAACCATATGAGGTTGGTACCATTTTTTTGTCATCCCACTTCACACATGAAGAAACTGGGACTTTGAACAGTTAAATAACACCAATTATGTAACCCAGGGTTACACAGCTTGTATATGGCAGAGTAGGCGCTATGTGTAGGCTGTCTAACTTCAGAGTCTACTAAATAAGCTCCCAACATTATGATTTTAATTGTAATAGTTTATAAGTACTCCCTGGAGACCTGGCCATTCCATGAAAAAATAAAAGCTGGCACTTAGTGTTAGGACTGTTCTCAGCACTTTACGTATATTGACTCCTTTGATAGCCCAGCTAGCAGGTGGTAGAGCCAGAATCCAAACTGGGAATTCTGTCTAAATAAATAAGAAATTTTTGCCTTATCCTTGTGGCAAAATTGTAGTTAGTTCCACAAAAGCTCAGTTAAGTCAGAGTACAAATTGCTACTCTGTAGTGATAGTCCCAGTTTTGTCCTGGTCATTTCGTCACTTCTCCCAGAAACATGTTGGATCTCTCTGCTGATCTCATCTTCATACTAGACTTTATTTGTATTTATTTTATTTTTTTTCCAGGGAAATATGAGCCGAGGAAATAGCTTGTTTTTCCGGAAGGTCCCCTTTGGGAAGACTTATTGTTGTGACCTGAGAATGTTAATTTGAAGATGTGGGGCAGGGACAGTGACATTTCTATAGTCCCAGTGCACAGAATTATGGGAGAGAATGTTGATTTCTATATGGTGTGGCGCGCTTTTTTAATAATCATTTAATCTTGGGAAAATGGAGGTGCTTGGTGTCTGCCTTTTTTGTTCTTTTTCCCAGCACAACATAATTTACCACTGATATTCCCCCTTTAGTTATTCTGAAATGGGACATTTTTGCTCCAGACTCTATTTTACTTAAACAGTAAAAACAAGTTGCATTTTCCTAAGGTGGTCATGTGATTTGAGTCTTAGTTTAAGGCTTGTGAAATGAAGAGTACAGTCCCAAGAAGAAAGAGAAATAATTCTGTAAAACTTAAGAAAATTAGTAAGGCAAGCTACAGGGGAGGTCATGAATGACCTTTTTTCTAGAAGACCCTGAAAACCCAATGGCATCCACCAGAATCTGCCTCCTATTATATAGTCCTAAGCACATTTGATAAACCCTGTCTCTCATACTTCATGAAAAGGACAATGCGTTGCCAAATTACCCTGGAAAATCTGTACGAGGCATTCACATCTTCAGTCTATTACTGCAGAGTAATACATTGTTGCCAACAACAGAAAAAAGGACAATTACCGAGAGTAAGCAAGATTTGGAAAGGAAGCATAATGGCTTTTTTCCCCAAAAGACATTCTTGTCATTTAAAATATAGAAAGCAAATGCTGCAGCAGTGCGCCCTTCTCTAAAAGCTAAGCCTGTGCCAGTCTCTAAATGACAGCATTATGCATCCTAATTGTATATACTCTTTTGTTCTTGAGTTTTTATTTTGTTTCCTTTTGTTGTTGAAGAAGGTGAGTGGTTTGTTTTTCAGTCCTTATGACACCTTTGGAAGGTGTACTTGTACCTTCATATCTGGTGATACAGACTCAAGTCCACAGAGCTCTTAGGATATTGACCACCTCGCATGTCATACCCTCAGTTAGGCATGTTAACAACATTTATAGAGGAAAAAAAATTACTTTAGAAGGAAATGAGTTTCAACTAAAGTATAAAGCTCGTGTGTACTCAGGCCTTTTAAAAGCAGGTTAAAATGCTCAAAATGAAAAAGCATATGGTTTCACGTATTTAAATAATCCACAGGATGTTGCCAAATGAGTAAGCACTTAATTTGCTGCTTCTCAGACTTCCCTATCAAAGCAGCAGCACCCATAATATTAAAGTGAGCATGCAGGGGTTGCCTCCCTCCCCCAGGGGTTGGGAATACAGCCTGAGGCTCATGAGTAGCTTACCTTGAAATGTCTTTGTCTCTTACTTTGTCTGAAAAAGTAATGTAACTTTTATATTCTACTCAATATTATCTGAATTTGTTTTAATATAAAAATGTTTTGCATTACCTACTTTTTCCCAAAAAAATCTTCAAGTAAAGATGATCTAGGAAAATGTGCCATGTTTATTATCCTGTGGCTTCTGTGCTGGAACCCCCTCCTCCTTCCTAGTTGAGAAGCTGGTCTGACTGTGAGAACCAGTCTACCACCAGAGGGCGCCAAGGCTTTGGTTGTACCTCTGCAAGTTGGGCTGCTGAAAAATGATACCAAGCCTTGCAATTGTTCAAGTACTAGTCCCGTCAGTCAGTCTAACTGCATCCAAGCTATAGGTCCAATAAGGGTATATACCTGTGATCCTCCATAAAGTCTTATAAGCTATTAACATAATCAAAAGTGTGAAGCTGGTTCAGGGGCTAGTAAATTCAGGTAGATACTCTTAAGATGCACATGCAAGAAATAATGAACTGACTCGTGTAAATAATAGACTTAGATAAGGATTATCTGGTAAACTGCACCTGTGAAACTGGGCAAGTGTTTGCCTTGGCAATGCTGAACTAAATGCCAGGAAATATCCCTCCTAGGGAGTGTGATGGTCCATGAAGACTTAATTGAAGAAAAGAATGTGGGGTTTCCTGGAATTTGGGGGGTGATTGTAAAAGTAACAGCGTATAAGAGCAACCTTAGGATGAAATAAACTTTAAACGTAGCCCTACATCCTCCCTTCTTACTCTTACTAAACATACCTTGGCTTTGCTATAATCTCCACTCTAGAAATGCCCTCCTTGCCCTCTCCCCATTGACATTTTGGCTGTAAAGTCAGATCCAGTTCTAGTGCCATCTCAATGCAAAGTCTCCCAACCAGATGAGGGTTCTACCTTCAATCTCCCCTCCCCCAAATCTCATAGTACAAACTAAACTGACAAAACGGAAACTACATCCAACACCAAGTTGAAGGCTTACACAGCAGTGGCAATTACTTCTCTCAGATTTGAAACTCTGACAAATGTTTACAGTCAGCACTTTTAAACAGGCCAACTAAAACACTGAACTTTATAGCAAAGCTAGCTGGTCAAGCAGCAGTGCGTGCAGTTGGTCAGGCTCGTGCTGGTGGCAGGTAAGGGAGCAACAAGAGAACGGACATTGGGGAGTAATGACTGCCAAGCTTGTCGTGTATTTTTTTTTTTTAAAGATTTTCATTGGGGAATTAGGAGAAAGAGAACAGACAAGTTGCTGTCATTTTGTTCTTCAGTCTAGTTGTGGAGGACGTTGCTTCACTGGCCCAAGTTGGTACCATCATTGCGCTCTTCCTGGGCGAGGCAGATCAGTCGCCGGCTTCTGGACGGCTGCTCACTGCAGCTGCTGGCCGCTCACGCTGGCTGCTGGCTACACGCAGTAGCCCATGGCAACCCACTGCAGCAGGGGCTGCAGCCTACGCCGTCGCCGGTGACTCACAGCAGCCCAGCTCCAGGTTGAGCTGTTGTTCAGCATCTTAGCTGTAGAGGGCAGTGTCACTGGCCCTCATATGTGGGATCCGAACCGGGGCCCTCTGGCGTCCCAAGCCAGCTCTTAACCAACGCTCCACTCAGCCGGCCCAATTAAATACTATGTTTTTAGTCTTGGGGGGAAGTTTCAAATGAAAGGTTCTTTTGCCACCACCCAACACCTTCTTTTCAGGAAAATATCTTTAATGTAGTAGCGATTAACTTCCTAAAGCAACTGAGTGTTTTCCTTCTAACCAACTTTGTCCCTAAGAGATGAGGAACCAGTTTCCACATCTCTTTACTGCCAGAGAGATGTCTTGGGGAGGCCTCTAGCAGTGTGTGTTAGGTCTCACACACATACACTACTAGTCTGCCATGGTTCCATGGTCAAGAGATGAAATCTTGAAAAGCCCATTTTGCCTTGGTCTCATAAGTGAATTCCTACACAGTCCAGCCCCAAATCTCCTGTCTGGGACTAATTAGGCAGATTTTATATTAAAACCACAAGTGTTCTGGGACCAACTTACTGCAACCTTGAAAAAAGAATGTTTTCAAATAGATTCAGATGAGTACCACACTCCAAAATAGGGTTGGAGGACAGTGCTTTGGAGAGCACCAAGGAAAAGAGGGAAAGAAACAGCAGTGTGACCTGGGGGTGCTATTCAAGACTCGCCAACTTCCTGAGAGGAAGAGCAAATAATGAGATACACCTTGCCGCCTCCCAAAGTCTCCAAGATGACAGTGGGTCAGAGGAAGTTTTCTAGCACCATCTTCTGTCTAACTAAGGCAGCCAGAATGGACTGTTCTCTGGTAATGCCACGTTTCTGGAAAATCTACTAGGTATTCCAGCTTATTTCCACACAGACGAGCATGAAGAGCCAGAGAGGTTAAATAAGGACAAGAAACAGAATTATACCTACTCGCTTTCTATCCTGTCTGGCGCCCTGCCCTCCTGGCATCAGAAAGACTGGTAAGAATGTCCTTGGCTGGAAACAAAAAAGGAGGGTGAAAGTGCAAACAACAAAGGGGCACCTCACTTCACACTGCCCACCTACCACTGGAATTCGGTATCTCATGCCCCCGAGGAGCCTGTATTTAGAGTTTACAAATGCGGCCTCAGTTCATTATTAAGTGCGTAGCCTGTGCAGAGCCTGGTGGGGACCGGGAAGGAGGCAAAGGCCTGCAATAAATCTCCCTGCCCAGGGCGCATGTGTGCATGGAGGGCGGGATGCAGTGTGACAAGACCAGGAGCTGGGAATGCTGGGAAGATTAAATGGAACCACATGCAGAGACTCTCACTGAATCCCTTAAACACTTGCGGTGGTGACTCGTACAAGGCAGTGTGTGCCAGGAGATGCTGAAACCACGGGATCCACAAGAGGGAAGCTCACATCCAGCTGGGAAAACTCGGGGAGACTTCACAAAGGAGTGGCATTTCAGTTGTTTTTTTAAGGATAGTGAGGATACTGGGAGGCATGTGGATGGGAGCAATTTCCAGCTGTCACGTAGCAGCCTTGCGACCTTGGACAAGCTGCTTGATCTTTCTAAGCCTCAGGCTCCTCATCTCTGGAGTATTAAATTTAGTACAGTGTCTGACAGTAACTATTTGGTGTGTGGAAACTTATTTAAGGATAAGAAAGGGAGAGGATACTTCCAGATAACGTGGGCAAAGCCACAGAGCTAGTAAAGGCTAAAGAGTTGAGAGCAAGTGGAGTCGCATCTCCAGTGGTCCTAACCTTGCTTCAGAGCTGCATTTGAAGCTCATTGGAGTAAGAGCACCCAGGACAATAACTACCACACAGCACTCAGTAAATGCTTGTGAAAGAATGGACTCCCTTCAGGATCCCAAAATGGGGTTGCATCTCAACCCCTCTCCCTAAGCCTGCTTAGCACTTGGCATTCTCAGACTACTGAACACTTCATTGTCACCCTGGTTCCCAGCTATAAACCCTGGAGATGACTGCAGCCCCCCTACCCCTCCCTCTGCTTCTAAGAAGGCACTGCTAGGTTCTCAGAAATGCCTCCTGAATTTGTCATCTCCCCTCCATCTCCGCCACCTTGGTGGATCACCTCCGTCCAGCCGTTGCAGCAGCCTTTTATCTGGTCTTCCTACCATCAGCGCAGGACAGTAGGCAGTAGATAAGCTGGAGCCCTGTGGTATGACGTATGGAGGATGACTACAGCTGTCTGCTACACCAGCTTCCAGCCAGGGGTAAAATACATTTTTCTGATCTACATTTCCTTAAGACTCTTTGCTGACATCCTAAATCTTTATACCCTGAGCCCAGTTCTCCTCCTCCAGCCTCCTCTGCTGTGCACATTGTTACCTCATAGCAGCTGCTCTATGTTATCTTCCACTGAAGCCTTGTGCAGGCAGAGCCAAGCTGAGAGACAAGGATATTTATAAATAGAAAGTGGGTGTAAAGTTCTGCAAATGTTTTAAAGAAGGCCAACTCCATCTCTCCTTCCATTTGAGCTTTGAAATCCTGTCCACCTCCTCATCTTCCCTGTCCCCAAAGCCTGTGAATTCCTGCCCTCTCCTCGGTGAAGGCCAAGGAAAACCTGGAAAGCATGGGGGCCCAGAGATGTGACTTGGAAAGAAGTGTGGGAAATATAAATGGACTAATCATCTGTAAACAGCTGGACAGAGTAAAAGCTATTGAGATAAATATGTCTACCACCTAACAACAGGGTATTCATTGGTGGCCTGCCACATGCCTTGCCCATATAGCCATTAGCTCCAACCTGTAAAACAGCCATATAAGCAAAATATTACTCCTGTGTTACTGATAGAAAAGGGAAGCTCAGAAGAGTTGACTGATTTGCCCAAGCCTGGTAAATGACAAAACTAGGATTCGAACCTGGGTCTGCAAGTCGGGAATTTCTAATCTGCTGTGCATATGTATTGAGTCCTGGTTTTCTGCATAAAAATCTGGGAACAGATTTCAGGAGTTAAACATGAAACTTGATGAGCGGGAACTTGTGGTTTTATAACAAAAGTGTCGACGTTGTGTATTATGGGTGCATACTCAGAAGCCCAACAAACTGGCTTAAGAAAAGGAATTCGTTGGCTCAAGTAACAGAAATGGCCAGCGGTTAATCCACTGGTTCAGACAAGGGCCTCAAGGGCACCATTTTTATCCCCTAGGTCTGCCCACCTCTGCCTGGTTTCCCTCTCAGACAGGCTTACTCCATGTGACAATGTGCAAAACGGTAGCTTCACATGGCTTCTTAGAGTTTGTAATTCCAAGGAACGAGCAACTGTCTCTCAGGGAAGCTCCAGCAAACGTGTTCTGGAGGACTATGGCCTGAAACACGTCCATCTGTAAACCATTCAGTGTGTCTGGGCTACCGTATTACTCCACCGGTCAGACCTGAGGCTCAGGCCCAGTCTGAAGGGGTCAGGATCCAGGGGCAGCCCACTGAGCCATTATTCCTTGAGCTGGAGGGGCCTGGCTCATCAAAGGAAGTTTTGCCGGGAAAGACATGTACTGCAACCTGTTTAAAAGAAACAGCTTGAATAGAACAAGAAAGAAAGCAACACGGCCCAACCTCGGAAAATCCATGAACCTGAGATGATCACAGGGGTTGATGTGTATTGAAATCTGTGCACTGGTATGTACATATATTAATCAC